GATTGCCGAAATTTTCAGTTTTCATCCACACTATAGAACAAGAAAAAAAAACAATATTTTATTGAAACGATGTAAAAATACAAAGCTGATTGAAGTTTAAAAAAAATAATGAAACTCATTCTTTCTTCTTAGTTAAAGGAAATCATTGCTGAATAGGTTAAATCAATGTGTTTTTATTAACATGAAGATTGTAGCATTCTTACTTGTGATTGTAGTTGCGACTCAAAATATTCATCAACTTGTGAATAATACTGTTGCTGTTGTAAATGATTACTTTGAAAATCAGGTGGTGTTAATACTGATGATGTTACTTGATTTTCTTGCGATATTGATAAACAAGATGGTGTATATGATTGAAAAAAATTTTCATAAACATCATCGGCATTGATTACCGATGCTGCTGATATACTTAATGATTTATCTATTGATGTTGGAGTTAGTATTTCACTAATAATTCCTGTTGATGCTGATTGTAATGGAGGTGGTGGTGTTGATGAATTAAAATGTTCATGTGCTTGCGCTAAAAATTCATCATCTATCTCAATATCATGATGATTTTTTGTATATGGCATTTGTCGTTGTTCATCATGAGAACCATAATAATCATTTAAAGCATCGTTATTCTCTATATTTAATGTTTGCCATGAATTATTTGTTAAATTGTGATTTAAATTTTCGTTGGATGCAATAGATGTCGTTGCTGTTGTTGTTGTTGTTACACGTCCTGGTGACGATGATGTTGTGGATGCATTCGACCATGAAATTAGTGTATTAACTAAGTTTGGTTGTGAAGTAATAGGTGGTGTTGTCGGTGTTGTTCGCTGCATATCTTGAGAAGACGATGACGTTGCTGTCGGATGTGGCATATTAATATTAGATGCACTCGGACGTTTTGATTTTATAGAACTCGTCGATTTTGATCGGTCTCTTTTTTTACTATTATCTGTTCCTGTTTTTTGTTGTAATAATTTATTTATGTTACTTTGTCCTGTCGAAGGTGAATGGGTTTTTGATGGTGTAATATTAAGAACATTTGGACGATTTAATGTCAAAGTATTTGATTCATAAGTTAATTTTTGTTGTTGCTGTTGTTGTTCTTGATTCAATGGTGGTTGTGTTGCTTTTGTTGTTACTGGTACAGTGCTTTCCCAAACGAGTTGAGCTGATAATGGTTGTTTTTTTTGCTGCTGTTTTACACTAGGTGATATTGATTTATTATTAAGGGAAATTTTTCCTTTGCCATTAATAACATCCGATATAGTTTGATCGATTTCTGGTGAACCGATTCTTGTTTTCATTAAATTTTGTGACGTAGAAATATCAAGTTTCACCGGTGATCTTATATTTGATTGTGTTGAATATACATCTTGTTCGTTTTCTTCTTCAATATTTCTATTGATATCATTCGTTGAGTCATGTAAAGTATTATCTGCTGATACAGTTGTGATAGTCTTTAAAAACAAAAAAAATGAATATATATATATATACCAAATTTCAAAAAATAATAAGATATAATTAATAAATATAAAAATTTACTTGTGGATTATCTGGAAAAATAAATATATCTTGTTGTTTTTCAGAAGGACATGATAAAATTCTATGATTATTATTTGGCTGTGTTGATGAGGTATTTAAATTATTAGCACTTTGACTTTGTTGATGTAAATCATCTAAAATAAACATTTTTTAAAATAAACTTAAATCATATCACTAATACTGACAGTAGCATTATAATATCTTACGGAAAGTTCAAGGAGATTCTTTTGAAATATATATAATGATAGTCAAGCAATTCTCTATAATATTTTATTATTCTTCAGTTGTTATGACAATAGTAGAATTCGGATCGATGAGGAAAACTTTTTGTTTCTACATTTAAAGAATTTGTACTAGAGTATGTTGTATTTTTAATAATCAGGTTATACCTTTTAGAATGATGTAAATTATTTCGTGGACAGTATGAAGAGAAAGTCTGATCCAAAGAGTCTATAATCGAATGACATTGGAACATATCGAACAAATCTATTACCTCACAAATAAAGAGCCATCTATAATAATTGACGAGCTGCAATTGAAAACTTATCTCAACCATGGCATCATTCAATGAATAATCTTTGATCATCGTAAGCTTAAAAACATTACGATTCATTGTATATCAAGACAATGAACCTTGATGAGTGATAATTGAAGATACTGTTTGAACTAGAGGCCTTGTAGATCGTTTTCTTTTGTCTTTAGTCTTTTTTTTTACCTTCATGAAACCATTGACATCATCCTTCACAGGAGCATAACTTATCACTGAACGAAGGAGAATTTTAGAGGAAGTACAACATAAACAAGTGTCAAAACCAGAAGAAGATTACTCTCCATGCGCCTCTCCTCCTCACCTTCCCTATTAATTACGTCCCCTGAGATTTCAACTATTCTTAAAGGTGAAGCTTGATGATCAAAACTAAAATTTAGTGTAGTACAGATTTATTTAGTGCAGAAATCAATGTTGTTTTTATTCATTTGAATCAAAAATAAATATTTATGATCAAAATTCTAATATACTCATAACTACTAAAGAATAATAAAATATAATAGAATTATACCGAACTGTTCGAACTATTAGTGTATATAGAGAGATAATGTCCTCAAGATATTCTAGCACTATTATCACTCTTTAATTATTAAAAAAAATTCATGTTATACTTTGATTCTGATGTGATAATTGATCTTGATTTATTAAACTATTTTTATTTATCGGATGTTGTTTTTGTTGAAGTGAATTATTAGAATTAATATTTTGTTGTCCTTCAAATGGCATTGATATTGATGAAGGTGTTTGATAACTAAATAGAAAAATAAAATAAGACTAATGAATTAAATTATTTTTTGCTTTCGAGCAAATTTACTTTGATGAATTATTCATCATAATTTGAGAAAAATTTGATGTTTGTTGTTGAAAATTATTATCAGTATTCAATGAAGGCATTTGTATTGGTGGTAATGATGACTTTTTAGAAATTATTTTTGCTACATTTGATGATGGACCAGTTGTTTTCATATGATCCGAATTTGGAAATGGTAACGATGGTGCTTGTATTGGTTCTATCGTAGAAAGTGTTGAAATAGTCTCATTTGAATGTATTTGTGAAGAAAATGTAGTTCGATGAGCAATCATTTGATCATTTAATGGTCGATATATAGTTTCATTTGTCAAAATTGTATTTGATGATTGTTTATTAAAATTAACAACAGGACAATTATGATTATGACCGTTGGGTGGATTCGAACAAACACAAATAATACGTTTTGTATTTGAATTTGTTAACATTGATGATGGGCAAGACATAGTTGATGTTTGCTGTAAATCAGCGTGGGTTGTCAATGAAGACGACTGTTTCATTGATGATATTGGGCTTAATAGAAAAAAAAAGAGTATAAAACTGATTGTAACTTTTGATAAAAATTGTGTCAAGGATTAACGATAAAACAAGGACAAATATAAATCATTTTAGATAAAAAAATACTATGTTTGACTTAAGCTATTTCTGTATGCTTCAGTGATTTACGAAAAAGAATGAAAAAAGATTTTATCAATAATCTACTAAAGTATTAAAAAAAAGACATATTCATAAATACTTTAGGTTTGTCATTTGCATATTTAATTGAGAATCATTCATATTAGATGGTGCTGCATGCATAGCAGGTTGATGCAATGAATATCGTTGATTTGTCGTATTTTGATAGCGACAATTAGGTATTAGTTGAGATTGTGATTGGTTTCCAATTGATTGAATTGTTGTAGAAGATGGTAATGTTTGTGATTGTATACTATTATATGCTTCTGTTGTTGTAGTGGATGAAACATCATTCTGATCACTAGTAGGTACTATTGTTGCATTTGATAAATTAAGATAATTTATCGGTGGTGAATGATGTTGAGAATAATGGTATTGTTGTTGTTGTTGTTGTTGTTGCGGTTGCGGTTGTAATGGTGGTTGTGGTTGTTGATATATTGGATCAAAATTATCTTGTCGTTGATGATGATAATAATGATAATGATTAACTGGATTACTACATTTAGGTGATAATAGTTGATTTTGTTGCATACATGTTGTTGGTGGTACTAAATATAAAAAATGAAAGAAAAAGAAAAAGAAAATGAAGACAGAGAAAAACGAATTTATATTCTATTACTTTTATTTGTAATATACATCACTAGATTAGGATTATCACCACATTTTTCTGGCCATTCAACACTTAATCGTATTGTAACAAGATTATGATCAATAACTGAATTTTGACAAGCTTTTAATGGAATTTTATAAGATTCGATTGGTTCACTATAACGAATATTATTCAAAGAATAAATTATATGAATAGAAAAAAATCAAAAAAAAAACAAAATTTCTTACCAGCTAATCATTATAATTCAATTGAAAATAATACACAATAATAACAGTTGATTGACAAAAACATAAAAGAGTTAAGAATTGATATAATGTGCAATACCTAGGTAAATATTATGGTTACTTTAGTGGTGAATTTTTATTACACGAATGAGTAAACAAGCTTATTTTTCCTTTGTTTTTCCTTTCTTTTCTTATTTCTTTTTCATTTTTTTTTGTTTCTTGTCTGTCTCTACGTCTATTCATAGGCGAAGTATTTACACATGCTGAAATTTTTTGCTTTACCTGGTTTCCTTTTTTTTCGATTACTTGTTAAGCGTCGCTACTGGGTGACGAAAACGTACATATATATCATCTAGAACAGAATAGAGAAAAATGATGAGAGTTAGAAATACAGCCATCATATGATCGTAAAATTAATTGAGAGAGTTAAAGATAGATAGTAGATATAACACTTCATTTTCGCAATAAAAATATGCAACTAATTATTTATACATAATATATGTTACCATATATATATATATATATATATATATGCATAATTAACGAAAATTATCCATGGTAGAAAATCGAAAACAGCAAGAAAATATTGAAATAAAATAATTAATATTCTGAATAAGGATCAAAATCTTGTCGTTGTTGAATTGCAATCATATTGTCAGGCAATGTTGACGTACAAAGATTAACTAAGGTTGTTATTTTTTCTGCATTTGGATGACGTAATTGTGCCTATTGAGAGAAACAAAAAGAGATTTAATTTAATTGAGAAAAGTTTTTTTTTAATTTAAATCAACGAACGGTTAGTTTAAGTTTCTTCATATTTAAATCAAATTCTGACATAATATCAACATTAATAACATCAAATGGTTTTAAAATTTGTTTTATTGTTTGTGGTGGATCATTTTCTTTCCAATAAATTGTTAATTCAGCTGTTTGATTATTTGACATTTTTTTATAATCAGTACGTGGATGATCCAATGGTAAATTCTATAAGACAAATAAAAACTTCTTTCTTTTATTGTTTTTCAATATATATGAACTAAACAATAAATAAGAAAGAAAAAATACGTACATTAATTCCAACACGTAATGGTACACCAATACGAAATAAATAAATATCGAGACTTTCATCTTTGACTCCAACAATGACTGCTTCATCTGATATTGTACCATATTCCTTAAAAATGAAGTGTATACATTCAATAAACAATTCACTACACAAATCTTTCAAGTGTTTAAGTACTTTTTAATGTGATTTTTCAAAATTTTTTAAATACGAAATTAAATAAAGAAGTACGCTGCAGTAAAAATTCGAAATGAATTTTTCGAGTAAGAAACTATACAAACGCATGGCTATGCATCGAAAATATTCTTTTCAAGTGTTTATTTACTTAAAAATGTGAATTTAATATATATATATTGTAAAAAAAATCTAATTATCATAAAGAAAATCCAACAGAATGACATTAATTCCGATATTTTTTTTTTATTGAGAAAAAAATTTTTCAATATTTATTATTCATAGTGGATTATGATAAGACTTGCAATCAACATTTTAATCTAATACCTCGAATAACCACTTCTGAGTATCATCAAATCAATGACTAATGCACATATATTTAAATACGATTAAAGTCGAAATTATCTATAGAATATAGTGTTCTTCTACGTAAACTAATCAATAAGAATTCTTGAATTTAGTTTCTGGTTTCATATTAAGCTTGACACTACTATTTGAGCATAACATGATATGTTGGGCGAAAAAAAAGTATTATGACTTTTACATGCATATAAAAATCTATCGAATTACCTTTTTTTTATAAAAAGAAAAAACAAAACTTTTGTACTTATCAAAATTGTCTACTAACCTTAATCTCATTTACGATACTCAAAAAGATAAAAATAAATTCTTTGAGACAGACAATTATTGACTTTAATACCTCGTCTGTCTACAATTGATAAATATTTTGTAACCAAGATAGGATAAATAATGGATATCATTTGCAATATAAAAGCCATTTAGTAGATATTTATATTACATTGGCACATAAGTTCTGCACGTTTTTTTTGTGTTTTAGCAAATTTGAGGCTTTATATCCCATGATTAGAAAATGATAGAAACCTGAAATTTCTAGTACAGATAGGTCTGTATGACTTCTATCAACGTTAAAAATTTCAGACCTCTATCACTTTCTAATCACGAGATGTAAAGCCTTGGATTTGCCTAAACCACAAAAAAAACGTGCATAACTTATGTACCAATACAATACTTCAGTAGTGTTGATATAGACAATGTAGTTTGAAAATGGAAAATATGTTAATATAGGAGAACATATTTTTAAATTAGTGTCTGAAAATGAATGACGAAAGGAAGATCTCAATTTTTTCGTTACTTTGTAGTATAGAGGCGGTGTAGTGGCAGATTCCGTAGGCTCATATCTTCTCTATAATTAATACTAACAGTTACCATCAACAAAAGAACAAACTGAGAACGAGTTCTCGAAGTTCAATACTTACGCACTTTATAAAAATTAACGAATCATAAAGAGCGTATGTGTGTCACTGCGTAGGCAGTATGTTGTAAACTGACTGATCCGAAACAAACAACAGCTAGTGGTTTGTTCCGAGTCACTTGTTGATTAGTGCTACTAATGTTCGAATACAATACAAAGACTATGTGTCGAATGACGTAGTCACTTAGTTATAGCAACCTTTTAAATACGAACAATTAAAAAAAAACAGAAGAAAGTTCTAAATGCAAGGTTAAGAATATTGTAAATACTCTTAATAACATTGGTTAACATGTCATTTTGTATCACAAGGTATATTGAATGGTACGCTTCACTAAACATCGTACTCAGGATAAAATAAAGAACAAAATACTTACTCGAATAAGCACAGCAAGATAAAGTTCTGCACTACGTTCTGAACATGTTTTAGCACTTAATTTTTTTTCATTACATAATTGTGCTATTTGTTCAAGTGCTCTTGGTGCTTGATAAAGATTATCATTATAATCTAAATACAAAACAAAACAAAAAAAGTAATACTGTGCAAAATTTATATATAATTTCATTTACTAAGTACAGCACCAAGTAATCTATGAACAAGTATATCTGGATATCGTCGAATAGGTGATGTAAAATGTGTATAAAAATCAACATTAAGTGCAAAATGTGAATAATTATTATCTGGTACACATGATGCACAACAATAAACAGCTAATTGCATAGATTTTGCAAGTAAATGTATAAGTAATTTTTTTGTTGATTCATTTTCAATATTTCGAATAGCTTTAGCAATATCATCTGATGAATTTCCTTCAATGTCAATACCAACAGATTTTAATATTTTAATTGCATTTTGTAATGCTGTTGAATTTGGTGGTGGATGACGACGTAATATAACTTTATCATGAATAGATTCTGTTGAAAATAATTTACGTGCTACTTGCATATTTGCTAAAAGCATGTATTCTTCAACTAATCGATGACTTTCTTTTTGTTGATAAATTGAAAAACTTAATGGCATTTTACTATCAGGTTTTATTTGATATTGAAGTTTTGGTTGATTTAATGTTAATGCACCACTACGTTTTGAACGTAAAATTTTTGATATTTCATATAAATATAATACAATTTCTTTGATATCATTAACAGAATAATTATTTGTTATTGTAGGAAAATCTTCCGTTTTAAATTCTTTATTTGGATGATCAATAATATCCTAGTTGATTATAGACAAAAGAAAAATAAAGTAACTTAATATTAAATGAACAAATATTATCATTTTATACCTGAGCATGTTCATAACTTAATTTAACACACGATCGAATAACACTACGTGCAAATTGTTCTTCAAGAATCTAATGAGAAAATTTTAAATAATAAAAAAAAAACACATCAAGAAAAATCATGAAGAATCTCTTACATTGCCTTTTTCATCCATTATCCATATCACAGAATATGTTAGACGATCTTCATTAGGATTTAAACTACATAATCGATCACATAATAATCGAGGTAACATTGGAATAACCTATAAAAACAATCAAATAATGTTTTTAATAGAATACTTTAAACCCCAATATGTTTTTTTTTCTTACTCGTTCGACAAGATAAACACTCGTCGTACGCTGTGCAGCTTCATTATCAAGTGGTGTTTGTTCTTGAACAAAATAACTTACATCAGCAATATGAACACCGATTCGATAATGTCCTATAACAAAAATATTTTTATTTGTTATATCAATGACAAGCAGAGATATTTATAGCAGCAAATTTTGTTGTTATTTTTATAAATTTTTAAACAACAATTGTAATACGAGAACTTTTCTTTTCTATCATGATGACCTGGATGGCCAATAGACATCTCTAATGAAAAAAAAAAAAGTTTAAATACCATTTTCAAGTCGTTCACAACTAAGTGCATCATCAAGATCTCGTGCTGTTGCTGGATCAATAGTAAAAATACATTTATTTCGAAGATCTAATCGTTTAGAAAATTCTTCATCAGGTATATTCCAATTATCCTGCTCTAATGGTAAACATTTAATAATCTAAGTATGCAAAAATATAAAAACAAAACAAGAATTATATTTCCTTTTTTACTTCATCATTAAATTCTTCATCTCGAATATCATTTTCCATTAAAATAGCTTTACTTTGAGCTTCAAGTGTATCAGCATCACCAAGACTTTCCATTAATTCTCTAAAAGATAATCATAATAATAATCGAATTTTCTATTTCACATACCCGCGTGCAAATTTTTTATCAGGTGGTATTTCAACAATTTTTGCAACAAATAAAGATTTTTCATAATCATTTGGACGATCTTTAAAATCTAAATATAAATAAAATTAATAAATCTGATTCAAAGTCTATCACGTTCTTATGTACCTAATGGACAATTATTCATTGGAATCATTAAACGAGGAATGCGACTAAATAAACAAAGTATATTTATATTACAAATAGAATATCTCGGATCAATAGAAAATCTGTCTATAAGATCAACGCTTTGCTTTCATTGATAATATATAGTTAGGATGGTTTTCTCATTTGTTTGATACAATAGTATACTTTATGTACTAACTAATTCAATTGTTTTAAAAAGATTCTTAAATATTTATAGTATGAAGAATCTCAAGGTTGATTGAATTCGTGTTTTTTTTTACCTATCCATTGGAGAAAATAAAGCAAAATTTGGATTATTATCAGGCATTTTTCGAAGTAATCCAGCAGTTTTCATTGAATGTCTTCGTCGAAAAAGATATACAACTTTAACTGTTCGTTGAAAATATTCATTTGGTATTTTATTAATTATATCATCAGTTAATGTTATATTATCACGATTAAGAGTATTGATTGTTTCTCGTTTATTATCACGTTTTAATGATAAATTTTGTTGTTGTTGATTATCTTCATTTAAGTTATCGTCTGGCATTTGGCCATTTCGTAAAGCACGAATATAACGTTCAACCTTTAATAAAAACATGAATTTATTTGAGAATGACATAAAAATTATTTTTAAAAATAAAATTTACAAGATAAGAACATTCAGGAAGAATTTTCCATTCTCGTTTAGGTTTTATTTCAGCAGCTACTTCATCTAAATTTAATGCTCGATTTCGTTCACGAACATTATCTATATAAAAATCAGTACCACCATCCTAAATAAAAAAAAATAAACAGTTTTTTTTTGTAAATATAAAAATTTGCTTGTTGTTTTTTACAGGATCACTTATGAATGCATCTGTATATTGTTTAGCATTAATTCGTAAGATTCCACGAATTGTTTTTTTCGTTATAATATCTTGCAAAACTTGACCTTCATTTAGATAGTCGTCACATGGCTATAATAAACAACATAATAGTCTTAATATCTTAATATACACTATATGACAATTACTTACAACTACTGAGCTATAGGCGGCTTGTTTACCTTGGTTGTTTTGATGATTGGCCTGTTGGTTTGTTCGCAACCTTTGAGTCCCACGTGAGTGAATATTGTTATTATTAGCGTTGTTTTCGATTTGTATAGGATAATAATTTGTGTAATTCTCCCACGCACTTGTATCGAATCCGCCGTCTTGTGGACCAGATAAAAACGAATTAAAATTCATTTGTTGATTGTTATCTTGTAATGAAAGAAATTTACAAATGATTTTAAAATAAAATTAGTCATTTTGAATAAGAGAACTATTTTGTTTATGGTGAAATATATCAACATCTAGTAGAATTCTTCAATGCGACGTTGATTTTTGTTTTTGAATGAGTCAGATTTCTTTCATCACTTGGTTTTTTCCATCATATAACGAAGACTTATGAAATTTCTTTAAAGAAAAGACTTACTTGGTTGTTGCTGTTGTTGTCGATAATTTGTATTTCTGTTATTACGTGAATTTCCACGATTATTATTTTGATGATACTAAAAATTGAAAAAAAATTCTAAAAAAACTTTACTCAAATATGAATACAGACATTTAATTGTCGTGGATTTGACATGTTAGAGTAATGAAATATATCTGTTAAAACCAAGTCAAAAAAAATTGTTAATATTGACTCTGGGAAAAAACGTGATATAAAAAGAAAATATATGTCATGATCGTAATATTTCAAAGTAAAAGAACAACAGTTTGTTGCATCGTATGAATTTTCCGTTTTACAGTAAAAAAAAAAAAGAGAAGTGCTTTTTAATTCTATTTGAAAATTGGGGCGCTACTGATTATAAGTAGAATGACATTGATAGCAGCGCCTGTCTACCATTATACTACTATTTTTGGCCTATGCGAGCCGATTAAAAAAAAAAATGCTCGATAACAAATAAGCAATAACGCACTATGTTTTTGTTGTTTTTTGATTGGATAAAATTACAAACAAAATAAAAAAATATTTGCTTATTGACAACCTAATAATGACTATTATATTTTTAATATGAATAAAAATATATTAATTTCGAATGAAGTATTGTATGTATATTGATGATATTATTAAGTTTCAAGTACATTAATCAAAGTACAGAGGCAAATGAATGGAATGTTGAAATACGATTAGCATATATTTATTTATTAGGTCATATTGACATAAAAACTATATTGTTTTGTCCTTAATTTAAGATGTCTGCAAATTTAATTGCACTTATCACTGGTTATACGGGAGAAAGTGGAAAAGCATTATTAAAAGAATTAATAAAAAGTAATCAATTTAAAAAAATTATTCTGGTTGGTCGTCGTCATGTTGAATACACAGATAATGAATATAAAGAAAAAACGGTATTTAGCTAATTAAACAAATATCTTATAAAAAAAACCATTACATGAAAATCTGCTCTAATATTAGCTATTTTTTTCATATGCTAATGATCGGCAATTAATAATATTTACAATAACAAAGGTTTTCTTTTGTCATGGGCAAGCTTATGATTAAATAGGTTTCATTGTATCACTATTCATAGATAATTAATCATAGAAGAAAAAAAAAGACGTGAAATAGGATATAATTATAATACTACATGTAATTGAATCATAGATAATTTAAAAGTGATGTGAACGAGTAAATGTATTGAAAATATTTATTTAATATTTAGGAACAACGTCAAATAGATTTTGAGAAAATTGACGATTATCCCGAAGCATTTCATGGTGCTGATATACATTATTGTTGTTTAGGTACAACAAGAGGTAAATCTGGAGCAGTATGTATTGTATTGATTTCAATAATTCTTACAATAATAATTTATTTTGATTAGGAAGGTTTTCGACACGTCGATTTTGATTTTGTAGTGGGAGCAGCTCGACTTGCTAAACAAGAAGGTTGTAAACATTTTCATCTTGTATCAAGTCAAGGTGCTGATCCATATTCATTATTTCTTTATAATAAAGTCAAAGTATGATTTTTCTTCTTTTGTTATTAAATTTCAATAGACATATTTATTTATTTAATTTTAGGGTCAAGCAGAAACAGCTTTAACTCAAATGTCATTTGAACGTTTATCTATTTATCGACCAGCGTATATATATATATATATATAGATTTTATTTCATACTTTCTATAAATATTTTAGAATGTTAATGGTGCATCGAACTGAAAATCGTCCATTGGAAAGTTTTGCACAAACAGTTATTCACAATACCGTAGAACGGATAGCACCTGAATGGATTACAACACCTATTGAGGTTCTTGCACGAGCAATGTGCTTTAATACATTTACAAAAGATCGTCCAAGTATTGAAATTCTTGATAACCATGCCATCTTTCGCCTTGCAGAACAACAACCATTTCAAACTAAAGAACTATCACAAGCGACAAATGCATCTTAAATTTCTTCTTTTTTCTTTTTCTTTTTTGTATCTTTTTTTTTTGGTGTTGTTTGCTATTTCAATTTTACTATTCATATTTAATGCGAATCAATAACTGATAATAATTAGCAACTAACATGTGATGTAAAAGTAATTGAACGAAATTACAAGTTCTCTTAGAAACATTCTAGAGAATTTATTCTCTTTCTGATTGATTTGACAAAGATTGAATTTCAAAAGACATGAAAACAATATTTTTTCTGTGAATTAACTTCGAGTGACATAAAAAAGTTCGATACCAAACATTGTGGAATAAAACAAATTTTCTCAAATAAAGCACAATTTTTTTCGAAATTCAAATTAATTTTCATGGTTACTAATATGTTTAAATCATAAACAACGGATTTTTCTTGATGCTTCATCCAGTCTACGAAAATTAGTGCTGTCTAACAAAACTAAAATGTATAATACATTTTATGTACTGTGAAAGAGTTACTGAAAAACTGGTTAAAATCTGAAAGTCTATAAATCTTTTTAAGAACTACTTTCTCAATTATTTGGTTTTCAAGAAAAACTTTTCTTCAAACTTAAAAAACGATGGTATAGGGAAAAAAGTATGTTGCAAGAGCTCGTTTGCTAATGTTTAGTATTAGTAAATGTCTTTCGGACTGATAGTTAATCATAAGAGAAATTTCTTTTTTTTCCTATGTTTTTTGGAGTTTGCACTTTGCTTTTGCAACTGGACTAAGAATAAATTTTCTACGATGCTTCGTTGCCTAGAACTGTAGGTCAAAATTTCTACGGTTAATATTGCACTTTAAATTATAAACATATAGTTTTTCATTTGGTTTTCAACATTAATGATAATAAATTTTCTAAAATACATTTAAAATAAAATGACAAAAATCGAAGTATGTATATCTATTAATTATATTATATATCAATATATACAAGTCCTACTATATTATTATATATCATATTACTATTATTGATTTAATTTGAAGTTTAATAGACAAAATATAACATCATGCTGAATTTACTGATTATGGGTTGGTAGAACCCGAAAGCTCTATTAAAAACAATTTCCAACTGTTATATAATTAATAGATATATATACTTCGATTTTTGACATTTTATTTTATTTCATTTTATTTTAAATATATCATTATTTACAAGTCCTATTATAATATTATTTTATATTATATCATTATTCTAAAACACAGGATGTTCTAGAGATAAAATATCTGTGTCTACCGAAGTCAGACTTTAAATCGTTTTACTCGTGGTTAAACTCGAATCAGCTCAAATTCGGCGAAAACACACCAACTGAATTCTGTTTTAGGACTAAGTTTCAGTGAGTTTTTGAAATTGAAACTGTCGAACATTGATTACATCCTAGAAGATCATATAGAAATGACTATGATTACCTCATACAACAACATACGAGATAATGACTGAATATCTCTTGTTAAAGTCCTACAAGGTACAATTTGCTCAATAATTCTTGGAAGCAGATTTACGTTGAGCGAACACCGAGTTTTAACACATTTTTAATAAGCGTCATTAACTTCATCAACTTTTTCTTCAGTAATTAATCAATGATCATTGCTTTTCGACAGTATTGATCTGACAAAAAACGTTAGCATATGTTGCTAATTCAATTCTTTAAACTATTTTAGTTCTAACTTCTTTAGATGCAGATATTTTGTCTAATATGAATAGATTGAAAAAAATTTTGATGAGAATATGATCAAATTGTAAAAAAAAAATTTAAATTGCTTGAATCACTGAGAAGCTATTCATGTTTTCTTTTTCATTCGGATTTTTGGTATACTCTGTAGATTGTATAAGATGAAATGAAGGAAGCTATCAATCAAACAGTAGAGAATAAGTGTTTTTCTCGTTTGAAACTATTTATTATTAACTTAATATCACGAAAAAAACAAAATGAAAATACTCTAATGAACATTTACTGAAGGTTTTTTAATAGAGATTAGTCCTACGAAACAAAATTCAAACAATATGCATGTGATAATATATAGATTGTAATATTTGTTTAGAAGATTAAATCTCAAAATAATGTTTTTTTTTATCTTTATACAATTCGAGAATATATCAGCGCGTAACGGTACTGTTCATTAAAAATGGTTTTAAGAATTATTCTCGCACAACGTGTCTTGTTTTAAATATGTCGTTGAGGAATCGAATTTATAGATATTTAACTAAACATAGAATATTTCAAATTATTTGCCGGTTTTGACTTAAAAGTAGTAGCTTATTCAGGTTTTTCTTTCACTTATGTAGTTAAAAAAAAACCTTGAACTAATTTCTATAAGCACTACGCAAATGAACAAGTTAGAATATGTTCCGATGAACATATATGAATTCTATCAAAAAAAAAATTTAAAGCTTTTCTATTGTTTTCAATATGAATAAATAATAAAAAATTGGCTTATTAATTGCTATAATAAATAGAAATAGAAAATATTATCTGTAAGATGCTTTGCACGTTATTTTATATTTGTTATTGCATAATTTTAACTAAACGTATTATCTTTTTTGATGTAGAAGAATAAACTAAAGGATATATTCCTTATGATGACATAAGATATCCACTTTTGATGTTATTTGTTTTATGATAAACTCTTATCAATGTATAGTTGAAAATTTTGTATTTGATATTACAGCTTAATAGAATATTCCAAGATATCATCTTCTTCGGGTCAGAAAGAACAAAGTACTTTGTATTAAAATAGATAAAAGTGTTTTGTCAAATATATTCGTTGAAGGCTAGAAAAATCTTGAAAAATAAGTATCAGGAAATTATTTGACAATGTCGTAGAGTTTAGAAAGGAGCTTTATATCTTATAGAAAAAAAATTGATCTTTATCATTTACTTCGAGTTTTGTAATGAATGAATATCAAACTATTGCAAAAACCTGCATTATAATAAACAAATGTATAAATATGTTTATGTAATGCTTGAAAAGTTCGAAAGCAGATAATCAGAAAAGGGTCACACAAATATATTTAGATGGAAAAATTGTGACCAAAATTGGAGAAAAATTGTTCGAATATCTTCGATCTAATTCTTTTATAGATTTTAATAGTTGACACTGCTGTATCTGAAAAACTAATCAAGTTTCTAATATATTTCGTTACAATACTGTATTAAAAGCAAAACGAATGCACAAGTTTGGCACTATC